TATATTAGAGGTAGAGACACTTGCTGCTCTGCTGCAGCAGCAAGAAGGATTTGCTGCTCCTCTGCATGTAGCAGAGAGGCCTGGTCCTGCAACAGCACAGACACAGCAGCAGCTGCTGCTGCTGCTGCGCGAGGAGCTGCCTGGTTGGCAGGTACTTGCTGCTGCTCTTGATGAGGTGTCTGTACACCTGAATATAGATGCAGGAGAGTGTGCTGCACTTGCATATGATGCTGTTGCTGCAGCAGAAGCTGCAGCAGCAGCAGCAGGTCCTGCTGCAGCAGCAACAGGACATGTACTGTGGCATCCGCTGCTGCCGCTGCATGCACTGCAGCGCGAGCAGCGCTACCAGCTGCTGTGTCTGCGCACCTTAGCTGGTTTGCTGCACCCTGCTGGTGCCCCTACACTGGATGCAGCAGCATCAGCAGCAGCAGCAGCAGATGCAGCAGCAGCAGCAGCAGCAGCAGAAAAACAACCAACAAGAGTTATTCTTATGTTCTTCTGTCTGCTGCTGCAGCAAGGACTAATAGATGCATTAATAGGGAAGATGGAGGCATTAATGCGTGCTGTTGTTGCTGCTGCTGCTGCAGATACACCGCAGCAGCAGCAGCAGCAATTATTATTACAACAGCAGCAAAGACAACAGCAGCAAGCTGTAGCATTACAGAATGCTGCTGCTGCAGCAGATGGGGAATCAGGAGGTGGTACTGCTGCTGCTGCTACTGCTGCTGCTGCTGCTGCTGCTGCTTCTGTTACAGGTATAGAAGCAGAAATAGCAGCACTTATGCTGCAGCACAACATAGATTGTGTCTGGGCAATTACTGATTTGCTGCTGCTGCTGTTCAATTCCTTCCATGCAACAGCAGACCAGCTGCAGCGGCTGCTGCTGCTGCTGCCGCATATTATTTCTCCTGCTGCTCTTCCTGCTGGTCGTCGTGCTGCATCTGCACAAGACTTTGATTCAAGGACACAGCAGCAGCAGCAGCAGCAGCAACAGCAGCAGCAGCTGCTGCTGCAGCAGATGGGACTGGGTGTTGATGATCAGCAGCAACGAGGACATAATATACATCTTCAACAACAATTGCAACAACTGCAGCAGCAGCAACAGCAGCAACAGCAGCAGCAGCAGCAGCAGCACAAGCCGCAGCAGCAGCAGCAGCGGCAACTATCTACAAGAATATGTGAATTAGTGTTAGTAATATTGCAGCCAAAGTTGCTGCGGTGGATTGTCCCTCGTGGTAGTCTGCAGCAGCAGCAGCAGCAGCAACAGCAGCAGCAGCAGCAGCAGCAGCAGCAGAATATACAGCAGCAGCTAGATGAATTTAGGGCCCCCACCCTTACAGACTTCGGCCTCCTCTCTGCTGCTGATGACTTGGGGGCCCTTGCTGCAGCAGAGAAGCAGCAGCTGCAGCAGCTTGCTGCAGATATAGGTAGTACAAGAACACTTATACAGACACTGCAGCAGCAAGTAAGCCACTGCTGCTGCTGCTGCTGCTGCTGCTGCTGCTGTTGCTGCTGTTGTCTCTGTGTGCTCATGCTTCTGCTGCAGTTTTTTGTGTGTCTTCCTTATTCACTCCGCTGCTGCTGCTGCTGCTTCTGCTGCTGTTATTTTGTTCCCTTTACCCATGCTGCATCTGCTGCTGCTGCTGTTTCTGCTGCTGCTGCTGCTGCTGCTGCTGCAGGGTCGGAGCTTATGGCGTACAGGAGACGGATTAGAGTGTGTGATGGATTTTGTTGTTAGTGGTGTCTTTTGCGGAGACAGCAGACGTGCTGCTGCTGCTGTATTAGATCGTCCTGTGCTGCAGTTGCTGCACCATTGCTTCTTGCTTCCTCTTGCTGCAGCAGCAGATACAGAGGTTACTCAGGTGTCTCTGCAACTGCAGCACGAGATACTTAGTCTTGCCTTCTGTGGGGGCCCCCAGGGGCCCTCTGATCTATGGTCAGTATTAATACAGCATCAATTGGGTACCCGTAGCAGCAGCAGCAGCAGCGGCAGCAGCAGCAGTACAACAACAGCAGCAACAGCAGCAGCAACAGCAGCAGCAGCAGCAGCAGCAGCATATACACCGCAACGAATAAATGATGCTCCTCTACTAATAGAGGCACTGCAGCTAATATCTATGTTAGTGCGCATGCATCCAGCAGCAGCAGGTGTATACGTAGATGCAGTAGTGTTGCTGCTGGAGGTATATGGTGTACAGCTGCAGCAGCAGCAGCAGCAGCAGCAGCAGATGAACTATCCTAACCATAACCATAATAATAATAATAATAATAATCAGCAGCAACTGCAGCAGCAGAATAGACCACGTAGTCTATTGCATGCAGCAGCAAATGCTGTAGGGGTACAGCTGGATATACACCCCAATATACAGATCTATTTACTAGATTGCTGCAGCACATTATCCTCATGGGGAGGATTTGCTGCTGCTCGTCGTATTTGCTGCTGTATACAATCTATACCTCTGCTGCAGCACAGCAGGCTGCTGCTGCTGCTGCTGCACCAATTAGAGGCTGCTGTTAGGGGACAGTATACTGCATTACCCCAGCAGCAGCAGATACTATATGACGATACACGAGCAGCAGCAGCAGCAGCAGCAACAGCAGCAGCAGGAGGGAGAGGAGGATTGGGAGGTACGGGTCTCTTTGGTGGTAGTACTACTAGTGCAGCAGCAGCAGCAGCAGCAGCAGCAGCAGCAGGAGAAGAAGGAGAAGTATCTATATTAGAGGAAGGAGGTGCATACCCAAGGGGTCTCCTTGCTGCCTTTGATGCTGCACTGTCTCTCTTAGCAAGCAGCAGCAGCAGCTGGTTGCTGCTGTCCCTTCCTGTGTCTCCTCCGTTACTCCCTGAGGCATTAACATGGACCAGCAGCAGCAGCAACAGCAGCAGCAGCAGCAGCAGCAGCTACCATAGACCTCGTCATACATTAGATCTAGTGCATGCAGTGCTGCATCTATCCTCTCCTTCCCCTCTTATACAATTGCATGCAATAAAGGCAGCTTGCTTCGAGCTGCTGCTGCAGCGCAGCACGAGGAATCCAGCAAATGCATTTGCTGTTTTGCTGCAGTTAGGTAATATGATTGATTTATTAAGGATAGATCTTGCTGCTGCTGCTGCTGCTGCTGATTCAGGTAGACTTATTATTACTTTCTTTACCTGTGTTGCGCTGCTGCTGCAGCGAATAGGCATAAGAAGACGTTATGATGCATCTTTGCTGCGCTTCTGTCTTGCATTAGAGCAGCAGCAGCAGCAGCAGCAGCAGCAGCAACAGCAACAGCAGCAGCAGATAATGCAGCAAAGATTAGGGGACCCTACTATGGCTACAGGGAATCCTACACTTGATGCAACACCACAATCAGCAACACCAACTGCAGCAACAGCTGCTGCAGCTGCAGCAGCAGCAGCAGCAGGAGCAGCACAACCAGCAGACAGCAATGCTGCTGCTGCTGCTGATGCTTCTGTTGCTGCAGCGCATGCAGCAATGCTTAAACTTTGTGCATTTACCTTCGAGGTATTTATACAGGTATTTGCTCCGCATGCAGATCGTCCTGGGCAGCAGCAAATGAAGCAGCAGCAGCAACAGCAACAGCAGCAGCAGCAGCAGCACCGACAGCAGCAACAACAGCAACAGCAGCAGCAATTTGTTCAACCAGACCTCCCTCGCTGCCGCTACTGGAGACTTGGTTTGCTGCTGCTGCGCATAATAAGAATGTTTCTTCGTGGTCCTCTTCCTGCTGTTGCTGGTTGTTCTGCTGCTGCAGCAGCAGCAGCAGCAGCAGCAGGGGCAGCAGGTGGTGAGAAGACAACAAGACAAGTAGATGTTTCAGGTTTACCTCCTGTATCATCATCATCATCATCATCATCATCTGCAGCAGCAGCAGCAGCAACAGCAACAGCAGCAGCAGCAGCAGACCTAGCAGCAGCAGCAGCAGAACCATTTAGTGACGCAGCAACACTTGATTGGCGATCTGCTGCTTTTGCTTTCTTTAAGTTTCTATCTAATCGTTCTGCTGCATTTGCTGCGCTGCTGCGTCTTACTTGTTCATCTGCTGCTGCTGCTGCTGCTGCTGCTGCAGCTGGTGCTGCAGCAGCAGGTGGTGGTGGTAGTGGTTGGTGGGGTGCTGCTGGTGGAATTAGTAGCTACAGCAGCAGCAACTGCAACAACAACAGCTGCAGCAGCAGCAACTGCAGCAGCAGCAGCAACTGCAGCAGCAACAGCAGCTGCTGGGTAGAGGGGGATGAGGCTCCTGCTGCAGCACACTATAGGGAGCGCTGCTGCAGCATGGGGATGGAGTTGCTGCGTTTGCTGCTGCAGCGCGATTTGCTGTTTATTGAGGTGTATAAATGGCAAATAGGTGCAGCAAGAGCAGCAGCAGCAGCAAAAGCAGCAGCAACTGGTGGACACATGGAGGATCTACATTCATTTGCTGCTTCTCTTCCTTTCCTCTGCAGCAGCAGCAGCAGCAGCAGCAGCAGCAATATTGTTGAGGCATTCGAGCTGCAGCCAATGCATGCGCAGCTAACATTACCTGCTGTAGCTCTGCAAACAGGATCAGCAGCAGCAGCAGCAGCAAGAGGAGCAACAGGAGCAGGAGCAGCAGGAGCAGCAGCAAGAGGAAGAGGAGAGCTGCTGCCTCCTTATTGTTGGTATATTTGTTTGCTGCTGCACCCCACACAATCTCTATCTGTACAGAAGGCTGCGGTGTATGTGCTGCTGCAGCTGCAGCAGCGTGCTGCTGATGATCTTGCTGCAGCATTAGCAGCAAATCCTTTACCACTGCAGCAGATGCGTGCTGCTGCAACAGCAGCATTAAAGGATGAAACAGTAGCAGCAGGAGAATGGAGGCAGCAAGCAGCAGCAGCAGCAGCAGCAGCAGCAACAGGTACAGAGGCCCTATTAGATCCATTAACATCTAATAATCTTAGCTGCTTCTTTGTGTCTGAGCCTACGCAGCAGCAGCGCAGCAAATGGGCTCATGTCCTTAGGCAGCTACGTGAGCAGCAGCAGCAGGAGCAGCAGCACCAGAGGATGCAGCAGCAGCGGCTACTGCAGCAGCATGTGCAGCAGCAGCAGCTGCAGCAGCGCCAAGCCCCTACACCTTCCCCTAGGGGAGGTATATCTGCTGCTGCTTCTGCCTGTGGCGGTGGTCGCCGCAGGAGCATGCAGAGTCTAGCGGATCTAGATACATCAGCAGCAGCAGCAACAGCAGCAGCAGCAGCAGCAGATGAGGAGAGCAGCAGCAGCAGCAGCAGCTGGGAATTAGGAGCAGCACAAGCTCGTGCCTTCTTTGAGTCCGACCAACGATTTCTTTTTTATCAAGAAATACGCGAAATAGACGACTGCAGCAGCAGCAGCAGCAGCAGCAGCAGTGCATGCAACTGCTCGGACTGCAGCAGCAACAGCAGCAAAAGCAGTAGCAGCAACAGGAGCAGCAATAGGAAGCAGCTACTTGCTGTATCCTCAGCAACAGGACTACCTATCTGTGCTGCTCTTGATGATTGCTGGCAAGCAGCAGAAGACACACTAATAGAAGCAGCAGATGCAGCAACATGGACAGCATTAGCTCGTTGTGTTGCGCTGCAGCAGCAGCAGCAGCAGCAGCAACAGCAGCAGCAGCAGCAGCAACAGCAGAATGTTAGTATATCTCGTCCTGTATTAAGCAGGACACAACAATTCTATGGACCTGCTGCTGCAGCAGACACAGCAGCAGCAGCACCAATACTTGCTTCTGCAGCAATAGAGATGTCCTTGCTGCTGCCTCTCCCTCCTCGTGCTGCTTGGCTGCTGCCTCCTTGGTCTCCACCTAAGGAGACACTTGTTGGTGCTGCTGTGTGTCTCCCTGCTGCTGCTGCTGTGTCTCGATACAGCAGCACCTCCCTAAGGGAGCTGCTGCTGCTGCTGCTGCTGCAGGGAGTGCAGCAGAGCTGCGGTGACGGTGCTCCTCTTACATCCGTACCTTTCCCGCTGCTGCTGCTTGGCTTAGCCTTCAGCAGCAGCAGCAGCAGCAGCAACAGGGCAACAGCAGCAAGTCTACCTTCCTTCGGTATGATGCCTCTATGCAGCGAGGGTTTGCTGCTGCCTGCTGCAGCAAAAGCAGCAGCAGCAGTGCTGCAGCCGCTGCAGCAGCTGCAATGGAATCCGCGGTGTCTAGACACAGAGAGCAGCATAATAGCTGCTGTTGTGTCTGTTGCGCAGCAGCAGCAGCAGCAGCAGCTGCCCCTGCTGCAGCAAGACATAGAGGACCTACCCCCTCATCCTGTAGACAGCAGCGGCTGCTTCCTAGGAGACAGCGAGAGACTGCCGCTGCTTGCTGCGGTGTATACGCAGCTGTGCTGCAGTGTTGCTGCGCTGCAGCTGCTGCAGCTACTAGCAGCGCATGCACAGACAGCTCGTGCTGCACTGCATGCAGTAGGTATACTATGGCCAGAGAGGTACCGATTCCTTGAGCAGCAGCTGCTGCTGCGTCATGCATCTGTCCCTTTGCTGCTGCGTCCCCCGCTGCTGCTGCTGCTAGCTGCATGCACGCAGTTATGTCGTCTAGATGTGCAGCACGCTGCAGCAAGAGCAGCAGCAGCACCAATCACCAACAGCAGCATACCCGGTGCTGCTTCTGCTGCTGCTGCTGTATGGCAGCAGCAGCAGCAGCAGCATAATGATAGACAAAGGAGACAGCAGCTAGCTCGTGTCTGCTGTCTCCTTATTAGTGCTGCTAGGCAGGGACAGAGGGACATCTTATCCGGGCTGCAGCGGCTGCTGTTCTTCTTTGTTGCTGCTGTAGATACAGATATAGAGGATCAGCAGCTAAATATGTTGCTGCAGCAGCAGCAGCAGCAACAGCAGCAGCAGCAGCAAGCCCTCGCTCCTCTATGCTGGGAAACCATCGAAGGACAACCACCATTACCTTCTGTTAAACTTGCTAGGAGAGAAATGCGCAGGTAAGCTGCTGCTGCTGCTGCTGCTGCTGCTGCTGCTGCTGCTGCTGTTGCTGCTGGCAGGATCATATCTTCATTAAGTTAGCTGAGCTTTGCTGCTGCTTATACACCCCACAGATGTTGTGCATGCATTTCCTCAATAATACTACCCTTGTTATTATTGCTGTTGCTGTTGTTGCTGTTGCTGTTGCTGCTGTTGCTGCTGCTGCTATTTGCTGCAGGTTATGTGGTGTGCTGCAGCGTGCACCTAACGGTAGGAGCAGCAGCAACGTGTGGCTGCTGCTGAGCCCTGATCTATTCTTGTTGCATGCGCAGCGTATACTACGTGCTGGTGGTATATTACCTGTATCTATCCCCCTCCAACAACAGCAGCAGGTGCAGCAGCAGGTGCAGCAGCAGCAGCAGGTGCAGCAGCAGCAGCAAATATATACAGCAGCAGCAACACTATTATGGATAGAATTATTCAGGACTACTTATCAATCTTCCCTTCGTGCTGCTCTTTATTGTGCCTTATCTTCCTTACCTGAGCTTGCTGCTGCATGCTTTGAGCTGCAGCAGCAGCAGCAGCAGCAGGACTTATTCATGTATGGTTTACAGCAGCAGCAGTTCCTCCCACGTGCTGCAGCAGCTGCTGCTGGAGCTTTAAGCAACAGCAGCAACAGCAGCAGCAGCAGCAGCAGCAGCAGCAGCAGCAATTGTGGTCTATTAGCACAGAGAGCAGCAGAACAATTAGATTGCTGCTTTAAGGGAGAAAGATTTTGCTGCTGCTGCCCTCGTCAGGTGTATGGTCTTGTCTTGCTGCAGCATTTGCTGCTGCTAGCTTGGGGTGTACAGGCAGCTGATACCAGCAGCAGCAGCAGCAGCATGCAATCTAGAGCATTCCCCCTGCAGCAAACGCAGCAAATCTTGCTGCTGCTGACGGATTATCCCCAGCTGCTGCCTCCTGCAGCAAGAGCGCTGCTGTATGGTAGTCTACAGCTGCTGCTTACGCTGCCTGCTGCTACTCAGCAGCAGCAGCAGCAAAGGAGAGGGGGAACAGCTGCTGCAGCAGCAGCAGCAAGTGCTGCTGCTAGCCCTATCTGTGCTGCATTCGTACAAGAGTTGCTGCTAGATGAGAATAGATACCTAACGTTGCTGCTGCTGCTGCTGTTCGATGCTAATCAGCCGCAAAATAGCAGCAGCAGCAGCAACAGCAGCAGCAGCAGCCCCAAATGGTGGACTGAGCAGCAGCAGCAACGACCGCAGCTTCGCGGTGTACAGACAGCTGATGATCCTACCTTAATAGAAATATTAGGTATTCGTTGCTGTCTTCCTCTTGCTGCTCTGCGCTTGCTGCTGCTGCTGCTGCAGTCCGTGCTGCAGCAGCAGCAACAGCAGCAGAACGGCAGAGGACCATGGCGTGCGAATTCCTTGCTGCCTAGAGAGCTGCTGCTGCAGCACAAGCTCAGCAGCAGCAGCAGCAGCACAGGAGAGGTTGCTGCTGCTCCTGTTGTTGCTGCTGTTGGTCAGCTGTTTAGGGTACACCTTTCAGGTGTACAGGCACCTCGGCAGCAGCAGCAGCAGCACGAGCAGCAGCAGCAAAATAACATAGCTAGAGCTACCTGCCAGTTGGCCTCTCTTCTATGCCTAGTACGTCACAGAAGTGCTGCTGCTGCTGTTGTTGCTGCTGCTAGTAGTAGTCGTGCTGCTGCTGCCTATGCTGCTGCTGCTGCATCTAGTATTGGTGTTGGTGCTGCTGCTGTTGTCTGTGTTTCGCTATCTTTGCTGCTGCTGCTGCTGCTGCTGCTGCACTTGCTGCTGCTGCACAACCAGCTGTAGAACACTTTCTCGTTGCGTCTTGCTGCAGCAGCTGCTGCTGTACTCATGTGCTGCTGCTGCTGCTGCTGCTGTTGCTGCTGCAGGATCCGCACTTTGTATGGGGTCTGCAGTCACAGCGTCTATGGCAGCAGCAAACAGCACTTGATTTGCTGCTGCTGAGCCCTTTGCTGCAGCAGCAGGCGCGGCTGCAGCCTGTGCTGCCTCTGCTGCAGCAGCAGCTGCAGCACCGCAGATTGCCTGCTGCTGCTGCTGCTACCTTCGGTAGATTGGCTGTGTTGCTGCCTCCTCTTGGCCTCCTTGCAGACATGCTGAGGATCATTGAGGTACTTGCTGCTGCTGCTGCTGCTGCTGCTGCTGCTGCTCCTAGCGGTGTTGTTGCTGCTGCTGCCACTTGATCTGTTGCTGCTCCTGTAGCAGCAGCTGCTGCTGACTAGTATACGGTGTGGTGACTCATGTGCTGCTGTTGCTGCTTCTTGTGCTGCTGTTGCTGCTGCAGCGGCTGCTAACCTGCTTCGCGGAGGGACCGTCAGTACACCTGGTGCAGCAGCTGCTGCTGTGGGTAGAGCAGCACGGGGATTTGCTGCATGCGCCGCTGCAGGTGTGCGTACACCTGGCAGATTTATGGCAGCAGCAGCTGCTGCTGCTGCAGAATTCCTCGGACATGAATGCAGCAGCAGCAGCAGCAGCTGCTGCTGCTGCTGCTGGACTACCGCAGAAGCAGCAAAATGGAGACAGCATACTACCTACTACAGGCACAGCAGCAGCAGCAGAGGAACAGCAGCAAGCAGCAGCAGCAGCAATATATCCTTATTCAGGTCCTATAAGAGGGGAAGCAGCAGCAGCAGCAGCAGGACCTCTCTTATACACCGCGCTGCTTAAGCTTCTTCGGGTGTATAGGCACCTATTGCATGCAGTAACAGAAGCAGCAAAGGCAAGGACAGAGGCGCCGCCGCTGCTGCTGCCGCAGCAGCAGCAGCCGCTGCTGTGCTTCCATGCAGCAAGACAGATGCTGCTGAAGGCGCTGCTGCTGCTGTGTGCTGCTACGGATAAGGTAGGACCTGATGAGGTGCTGCTGCGGCGCATGCAGCAGCAGCAGCAGCAGCAGAGGCAGCAGCAAGTACAGCAACAAGGACAGGCAGCCGCAAGAGCAGACCTTCTGCTTCTCTCCTCATCGCAGCAGCAACTGCAGCAACAGCAGCAGCAACAAGTAGCAGCAGCAGCAGCAGCAGCAGATACAAGAGATGCTGCTGCGCTGCTGCTGCAGCAGCTGCTGCCTGCCCCCTCCCTTAAGTGGGCGTTGCTCCTAGCAGGAAATCGCGTCATAGGTAAGCAGATGCTTCTCGTGCTGCTGCTGCTGCTGCTGCTGCTGCAGCAGCAGCAGCAGCAGCAAGTACAGTAGCAGCAGAAGCAGCAAGTACAACAACAGCAAACATGGTAAATAGATTGGGTGTCTTATATGTTGTGCTGCTGCTGCTGCTGCTGCTGCTGCTGCAGGTAGCAGTATTGAGGCATTCGCGCTTAGCTGCTGCGGAGACAGCAGCAACAGCAGCAACAACAGCAACATGGAAGCAGTAAGTGTCTTGCTACTGCAGTCTTGCTGCTGTTGTTGCTGTCTCCTTTGCTGCTATTGCTGTCTCCTTTGCTGCTGCTGTTGTCTCCTTTGCTGCCTGTGGGGTCACCAAACTTAGCTGCTGCTGCTGCTGCTGCTGCTGCTGTTGCATTTTTGTGTCTGCAGCTGGCTGCTGCTGCTGCTGAAGCAGTGCATGCAGCAACCTGCACCGCCTTGCATGCAGCAGCAACGCTGCGTCTGCTGCTAGAAGCCCCAGCAGCAGCTGCTGCTGCTGCTATTGCTGCAGAGCCGCAGGTTAGCTTCTTTTAATTATGCTGCTGTTGCTGCTGCTGCTATTGCTGCTGCTGCTATTGCTGCTGCTGCTGCTGGTATTACTGTTGCTATTGCTGCTGCAATTACTACTGCTCCTATTGCTGCTGCTGCTGTTGCTGCTGCTGCTGCTGTGTGCAGGTGCTGCCTCTAGTTGTTGCCACGCTGCAGTGTAGTTTATACTTAGTAGGGGAGTTGGTGCTGCGGGCATTAGGCCTATACCCGCAGCAGCAGCAGCAGCAGCAGGAGCAGCAGCAGCTAGTTGAGCTGCTGCTGCAGCGAGGACAACGGTTAGATATAGGGCCACGTGTGCTGCATGCAAATGCAGCAGAAGGATTTGCTGCTGCTGCTGCTGGCTGCAGCATCTATGGAGACACGGGGCTGCATATACCAGCAGCAGCAGCAGCAGCAACCAGCAGCAAACTTGCTTCCCTGTCTCCTCTGCTGCAGCAGCTGCTGCAGCAGCTACCGTCCTTGCGGCTGCTGTGTCTCCTTGCTAGCCGCAGCAGCATATCCCAATCACCGCAGCAGCAGCTCAACGATCCTGCTGCTGCTGCTGCCCAGTGCAGCAGCAACGGCAGCAGCAGCAGCAGCAGCATAGGGGCTGGGGTGTACATACAGCAGCACGAATTAAGCAGCATTGCCTTCTTTGCTGCTCGTCTTGAGGCAATTGTTGGTATTTAGCTGCTCGTGCTGCTGCTGTGGGGCCCCACAGCTGCTGCTTCTGCTGCTGCATGCGCTGCAGCAGCAGTGCTGCAGCAGCAGCAGCAAACTTTTACGGCAATTGTTTACAATTGTTTATTTATTTAATTATTAAAATAAACACTGCAAAGTAGGGTTTAGGGTTTATGAGGGTTTAGGGTTTACGAGGGTTTAGGGTTTAGGGTTTACAGGTAATTAGGGTTTAGGGTTTAGCTGCACGTACACCCCAACCGTCATCTCCAACTGGACAAGTAAACAGCTAGCTAGCTACATAAATAAATAAATAAATAAATAAACAAATAAATAAATTAATTAATTAATTAGTATGTAGATAACTAGCTAGCTAGACAGCTAAATAGATAACTAGCTAGCTAGGGTTTAGGGTTTAGCTAGCTACCTAGCTAGGGTTTAGGGTTTAGCTAGCTAGCTAGCTACCTAGCTAGGGTTTAGGGTTTAGCTAGCTAGCTAGCTACCTACCTAGGGTTTAGGGTTTAGGGTTTAGCTAGTTACCTACCTACCTACCTAGGGTTTGGGGTTTAGGGTGTAGCTAGCTAGCTAGCTAGCTAGCTAGCTAGCTAGCTAGCAAGAAGGATATATTATATATAGCTAGCTGCTGCCTGCAGCAGCAAATACCCTAAATAAAAAGAGACAAAAAAGTGTCTCCTTTTTTGTCTCCTTTTTTGTCTATAAAAAATAATAAATAAATAAATAAATAAATAAATATATTTATTTATTTATTTATTTATTTATTTATTTATTTATTTATATAATGTCTCCTTCTCCTATAATAATTCCTGCTGCTGCTATTCTGCTGCCATCCCTAAGAATAATACGGCTAAGGACAGTAGGCTGCTCCCTCTTTGCTGCTGCTGCTGCTGCTGCTGTTCCTGCTGCTGCTGCTGCTGCTGCAGCAGCAGCAGCAGCAGGCTTGTGCTGCTGATGAGGGAGAGGAAGGAATGTTATTGGGTGCGATGTTTGTATAACAGCATAACCTATAGACCCTTTAGGTATAAATCTTGGTGCTGCTGCTGCTGCTGCTGCACCCTTGCTGCTGCTGCTGCTGCTGCTGCTGCTGCTGCTGCTGGTGGTTTTCTTTTTGCTGCTACTATTAGGTGGCTTAAATAGACGCAGCAGCACAGCAGCAGCACGAGCAGTGTGTACATACACCTCAAA